GGGAGGGGGCAGGGCCGCGGGGCGCAGCGCCCCTCCCAGCCGGGCGGCCTCCGGGGCTGAGCTGGGCCGCGAGGCGGACAAAGCGCCTCCCGCTCCCTCCCCCACGGCCGCGTTCCAAAAGGGAGGGGGAAGGCGGGCTAGAGGAATGGAGGAGGAAGAGGAGGGGGGAGGAGGAAAGGGAGGAGGGAAGGTGCTGCCGGCGGGACTGGGCAGCATCGCGCCGAGGAGGGAGGGGAGGGAGGAGGGGCTGGGCGGCCTCGGAGAACTGGGAGGAGGGAAGGATTCTTGAAGCCCAAGATAAACAAATTGTTCCTCTTCACGTGCGGGGTGGGGGGAGGTGGAGAGGGTGGGGAGCGAGCGCTGCAGCCGCTCCTCTTCCCCTCCCCCCAAGCCGGCTCTTTGTCACGGAGCGCCGGCCCGAGCGCCCGGCGCAAGCCCGCGGCATCCTCCGCACCACCCCCGGCGCCGATGACTCCCAGACCGGGGACGTGCGCGATTTATAAACCGCACACCGAGAGAGCCGCCCGCGCCGCCGATCGAGGTGCGGCCTGCAAGGGAACCGGGCGAAGGCGCGCGGCCCCGCCGCGCTCCCGGGTTCCCACCGCCCAGCCCACCCCGCACACGCGCGCAGCCCTAGCCCCGGCAGCGCGGTGGGGGAGGGGGCTGCAGACACCCTTCCCAAGCTTCCGGCCTCCCCCCACCCAGAAAGGAAAGCAAAAGAACCGGAGAGAGAAGATAAGAGAAAGGATTCTACCCTCAGGGTTAGGGGGTGGGAACTGCCCCTTCCTCCCCGAGAAGTTAAGCCATTGGCTGCTCATCCTACCTCGAACCCACCCACCCAGCCATTTAAGCCTCTTTCACCTCCCTGCTACCTTCCACTCCTCCGGGCTTATTAGACTGGCCTGGAAAGTTGGCGGGGAGCGGGGCGGGGGGCGAAGCGGAGAAGGCTCGGCGCAAGCAAGTTTAAGGGGAGGAGGGGAAAGAATCTCCAACGAAGTTGCGTGGCGGGGACTCGGCGCAAGTCGAGGGCGTAGCTCTCCCCACCCGCCCCCGCCGGGCCGCTCCTCCTTCGACCCTCCCCGCCGCTCCACCTGCCGGGCCAGCCCCGGGTCTCCGGCGGCGAGGGAGCGCACCCGCGCCCCGCATCCGCGCGCGCTCCCGCGAATGCGCGCGCGCAGCCACCCTCGCTAGCTCTCACCCACTTCAAAGTTCATTCACAAAACTCTCAGACTTTCTCAGCCCCAAGAGGGTGAGCTGAGGAGAGGAGGCGAGAGCCTCTCCCTTCCCCCTCCTCCCCCCAGGAGTTGATTCTGGTGCCCGCCCAGAATCTGCGACAGCATCAATTTCTCCCTGCACCCGGCGGAGAGCTGAGAGGGGTGGGCGAAGGGGGACGAGTCTGGGGAGGCAAGGCGGCAGGGCGAGGGGTGGGGTGGGGAGCGTGAAGAGGAGGAGCGAGGTTTCAACTCGGGGTTCACTCTCTTTCAAAACGGTATCTAAGAAAGGGAGCGGGGGAAAAAAAAACTTTTCCAGTGCCTCACGCTGACGCTCCTCCAGGCTCCCTCCGCCCCTCGCAGTCGTGACTGGCTTCTCCCCTCTCGCCCCCTCTTCCCCAAATCTGACAACGCTGACAGATTAACAGGTAGCGGCGACGGCAGCTTTTGCCTTAGAAAAGTTGACGTTAACCCTTCGGCTTCAGCCCACCTCATCCATCGTGCAAATCAGACCCCCGTCCCCCCATGTAAGAAGCTCCACGCCCCCCTCCCCCCACGCGCGCGCCCCATGCCCGCTGCCAGCGCGCCCTCACCATGATCAGCGTGTGGTTCCTCTGCTCCGCCGAGGCAGCCTCCGCATCTTGCTGGGGTTTGCTCTGGTGCTGCTGCTTGCCGCTGCCGACGCCGGATTTCTTGGCCCTCTGCTCCAGAGTCCGCTGGTAGAGGCTCACGGTGTCCCGGCGCTCCAGCTCCAGCTGCTCCACCTGAGCCTGCTGGTACCTGTTCTCGCAGTTGACGTGGTGCCGCCGGCAGCCCTCGATGCGCTGGCGGAGCCGCTCCACTACGGTGCTGTGCTTGGGGACGGCCGCCGAGCCGCCGCCGGGGCCCCCGGAGCCGCCGCCGCAGCCGGCAGCGGGGTGACTGCTACTCGGAGCAGCAGGAGTACTATTGGGAGTATTATTCACACCGATCCCGGCCCCGCCGAGGCTGCTGTTCAGGCTACTGTTGATGCAAATACTACTGCCATTCGCGGCAGCAGCGGGGGCTGCGAAATCCCCCATCCTGCTCCCCGGGCACACTATTTTGGAAGAACTTTTTTTATCCACCCCCCTATCAGCCTCCTCCTTGGGTCCAAGGATTAAAATAGTTTAAGTGGAACGCGGGGGAGACGCAAGCACATGGATGGAAACAGCGATCCCGCCGGGGCGAAAAAAAGGGGGAGAGATTTTAGGGTGGTTTTTTTGTTTCCTTTTTTTAAACTGTAAAGCTGGAGGGGGAAAAAAAAGGGGGTTGTTATCAGAATACCATCAGACACCTATCAACAAAAAGAATCACAACAAACTGAGCCAGCAGCAAATCGGGTTGCAACTCAAGGGGAGATCCGCTCCTTGCCTGCCTTCTTTTTATAATCCATTATTTTCTAATAAATTCCAGGAGATTTCCGGTGGTTGGCAAGCATTTTCTCCCTACGTACCGAAAAACACACCCCATGTACACATACAAGCATATGCCTCCAGTGCGGACACGCGCGACACACACTCACTCCACACCGCATCGGAAAACGGCAAGCTTGCTTATTGCATTTTCCTTCCACAAAAAAGTTTTGGTGTTTATGCCGCCCCGTGTTCTCAAAGTACTTTGGCTGCTCAGTTGCATTTCACAGGAACCTAGATATCGAATCCTCGGGCTGGGGGAAGTAAACACATGGACAGTCCGAGGCGACTGCAAAAGTAGATCGGTGAAGTCCTTTGCAAAACGCCGCGCGGAGAGCAGCGCCTAACGCTCGGCTGGGCTGCCGCTGCCGCCGCTGCTCCTGCCACCATCACAATGATCAACTGCTCGCCGCTGCCGCCGCCGCCGCCGCCGCCGCCTCCTCCTCCTCCTCTCGCTCCTCCACCTCCTCCTCCTCCTCCATGCCAGCGGAGTGATATCAGGACGCGCGAGCTCAGTAAACACGGCAGCGGCGGCGGCTGGAGGCCGTGAGACAAGCCCGGGGACACGGCGCAAAACCCGGCCCGGACTCTCACCCGGCAGGAGCGGGCGCGGCACGCACCGGCACCGGGCTCCCGCCTCCCTAGCCTCGCCCTCCTTGCCCCTCCCACGCCCCCAACCTCGCTACTACCCTGACTGGGAAGCTGGAGCTGCCGGAAGAGAGCAGAAGAAAGATTCTGGGGCATCTCGGGAATTAATCAACTTTTGACCTGTGTGTGAGAAAGAGGGAGAGTGTATGTGTGTGTACGCGCGCGCGTGTGAGGACGGCCGCGTGGACGCGCGTGGCTGGATTTCCTTATTCCAAGCGAGGGATCAAGCGAGCCCAAGTTGTTGTTATACATTTATGCATTATATTGCAGAACTGTGCATGACCAGGCAGAAACATTGAAGCTTCACAGCAGTTGTCTGTCATCCCTATCCATGTGGAAAGAAAAAGGCAAATGAGTGACTTATTTTTAAAACCCAGGTAATGAGTCCTTACCAGTAATAACGCTGCTTATGGACACTTGTTCAAACTCTAGGCCAGTCTTAACACACAAATGCCGAATTCTGAACAAAAAGAAATAGGCACCAAAAACCTTGGAATATCATTTAATTCGCTGTACATAATGATTGTTGTTATTAAGGCAATTATTGTTTTACTTACCCTTGGAAAAAAATTAAAATAAAGCAAGCCAAGGACTTGGAGGTGAGACTAACAGTACATTTTAACAGACTGTTTTGAACGCTAGGTGCTAATGACAGCAGTAATTAAGGGTCCTTCGTAAATCAAGTGGAAAGATTGCAGATTTCATGGACTAGAACTATAGGAAAAATACAGCGTTTCACAGTTTGTCATGACCAAAACAAAAACAAGCAAAAAAAACAGGCTTACTTTATTGCTAGATATATTTCTTTCTATTATAATGAATTCACAAGTGCAATTAAAATGGAATAGTGACCACAGAAAGCAATCCAAACTTTCTATCATCTTTCCAGATATTGAGTATCTAAAAAAACAACAATAACAACTCAGGATCAAATATAATATCCTTGAATCTGGACTTAATCCATTGCATATACATAATTGTTTAAAAATTAAAATGCAGAAACAGCTTTTCTGTGATCATCAGGACAAAATCTTGATTGTGAGCTGTTAATAATAAGGCATTTTGTATTATCTCAATAAATCTTATAGAATTAGTTTTTAGGGTAAAAATACACCCCAGTTTTCTAAAATAGCCAGGAATAAAAGAACTTTGGGTCTCATGCATTAGTCATGAGATCTGATTTAAACCATCTTCATTTCTTGGTATTGCAGATTAGCATAGGATGCTATTTCTAACCTCATAATGTCAGCAATAAGAAGCTATATTTTTCTTCAATTAATCAGGTCTATATGGTGAACTGTATTCTTAACATCCACTGGATTATATGGTAAAACAGGCAGCAAAATATTGATTAACATGGTGTAGGTTTCCTCTAAGTAGTGAAACCAATGTGACAGAGTATCTTTCATTGAAGTTACCATGCTTTTTTTCAGAGGGCTAGTTAGTTAACATACAACCTTCTCCATCATATTTGCCCCTCCTTCGAGTCTGTTAGAAAATTAAACTGAGTTAGTTCTATAGCAAAAAGTCAGTTCAGATTCTAAAAACATAAATAAAATTGTCTGAAATTATAAGAAAAAGACATCACAAAGTGGCCTTTGTCTTTTTCACATATTCACTAAATAATATCTCTCTTAATTCAGGAAACACATGGCTTCACTGCAGAGAGGAAACCATGACTCTGCATTCACTCTGCTCTCTCTTCACCATAGTTTAATTCTTATCCCTCCTCCTACCCCTACACACCTACATCATCAAATTGCATACAGGACTGCAATTTGATTTACAGAGGCAGCAAGTTTGAGGGTCTTGAGCACTGGGTCTTCAGTTTGGATACTTGGGTTCTAATTCTAGCTTTTTCCTATGGTTCAGAATTTAACTTTTCATTGAGAGTTTGTCATTCTGAAAAAAAATTATAAGAAAAACAGCAACATGCATTCCCATCAAGCTATTTACCTCTCCTATCATGAAGGGAAACCAAAAATACACAAGAATTTGCATCCTTCCCTTTGGGGGACCAACAGGTGTAGGACCACACTTTGTGGCTTTACCCCAGAGCTTCCCATTGACAAATCGAGCTATTCTTGCACAACCACAGTATAGTTAGCTGCCCAAGTTAGTGCATAAGTGGACTATACAAAAAAGAAAGATTGACTGTTCATGGGTATACACACACATACTCACACACTGGCACCCATCTTTTATCTCATCAAGATGGTGAGAGTGGCAGCCATAAGCTCCAAGACCAAAATGTGGGGAAAGGAAGGACTGTGAAGCTGTGTGATGGCCAACGGGGAAAGAGTCTTTAAGGAAATTAACCTGTGCGGTACTCCACTGTGACATATTTGAGGTCAGAAACCCCATCCTAATTGTGCAGGTGGACTAGAATAAAGAAGCAGGAAGTGAACAAGACTTGAGTCTTGAGCAACATAGGCAAGTCATCCTGAATTAGAGATGTTAATCTACTCCAGTGGCCTTAGAAGAAGCAGAGGCTTTCATACTAGCTACTTCTAGACTCTCATGATATATTGCTACGAAGTGGCCAGCTTTGTTGGTCATCATCCTAAAGAATTCGTTGAAAATCATAGAGAAGTCTAAGTAATGGAGAAGCAATTTTAGTCCCTTCTCCCTACCAAGCACTCTTATAGCATGACCATCTTTATCTTTTATGTGAGCCTGTTGCAAAGCAAAACTTCCAGATAGGAGCTATGGACACATCATCAGTGCTGTTGCTCTAGAATGGGAAAGAAATCTGTGATGCCATGGCAACGATGAGAAAGAAATTATGTGGCTGCCTCCCCAGACTTTGATGATATCTCTCTGGATGCCAAAGAGAAGAAGGGTGTGACGAATAAGCACCTGTACCAGGTTGTCCTCAGGCTCTGGCTCTGAGACAAGGTTGGCAGTTCTAAGGAGTTGTACCAGATTCCTCTTTCTTTGGGCCAACTCTGCATCATCCTCTGATGTCCATCTGATAGGGCCCAGTGTCCCAGTGTTGAGAAAGAGGTCTTTGTGTAGAAACTCCAGTATATAGGCCACTGCTGCTTCCCTATTAATGTGGATCAATAGAACTGGCTTCATAATTGTGCCAAGGTAGAGTAGGAACCCTCTGCTGCCCACCTATGGGTAAGCAAAGCTTTATATATACCCACAGAGTGGTCCAGGAAGTCCTGAATTACTAGTAGCAGTGGAGTGTGCCCTCAACTATCTGCCAAGATTTAGCTATCACTTCAATAATTCCGTGAATATAGTTATGGCCTTCTCTGTGCTAGGCACTGTGGTAGGCACTGGGAGTACAGCATAACAGCAGAGGGAAACACAGTCCCAACCTCAATGATGGTCAACTAGACTCAGAGAAGTAGATGCTGTGATGGGACTAATGGAGTAGGTACAGGAACCCACAAAAGAGGCTTCAAGTGCATGCTAGGGAGTCTAAGAAGGCTTCTCCAGAACTCACTCTGAAACTGGGTAGAAGAAAGCCAAGCTAAGGCTGGTGGGGCGTATGCAGTGGGGAGTTAGGAAACAGCTAGAGCACAGCCCTGAGGCCTGTTATTTCAGCAAATCCACCAGCAGTTCCCTCTCGCAGAAGTGTGAGTGTGAGAGGGTGTGATGAGGAATGAGGCCGAGTCTGGGAAGATAAGTAGGAGCCAGACCGTGCAAGGCTGTCCAGAAGTTGAGGCTATGTCTTTGGGACAATGCTGCCATTGAAAGGATTAAAGCTGATCTATACTTTTTACTTTGGCAATGCAGGGATGTATTATTATAGTGTTTTCTAGAGTGTGTTCTGAAGAACCTGGTCCTCTAAGATGTTTCTCCAGAAAGGCTTCTGAGCCAAGTAAGTTGACGAGATGATCCATACCGCATCTCTCTCTCTTGAGGATTTATTACTATGTTGAAGGCTGCAAGAAATCTTGCGGCAAATCATGTGTAACTTTGTTCAACCTAGCGTTGCCAAAATCCTGTTATGTCCCACAGAATGAAACACACTGTAGAAAGCTCTGTGTAGGAGAGAGTAAAAATCGAAGGCTGTTGTAAATCCACTGAAGTTCACAGCAATTGCCTGGGCAAGTAGTCTGTGACAAAGAGCCCACTCCCCTCACCATCTGCTCTGCCAGAATCACTAGCACGCAGGGCTCAGGCCCCTTCCTAACCTTAACTGCACGTGTGGAATTCTGACCTTCACGAAGTGGGAAAGTAACAACAAGAAGGCCAAAATCCCAGAAGGGTGAATTTGACTAGCCTTTTTCAGCATTAGTACTTTGAGTATGTTATATTAATATCTATCTGTGTATAATAAAACCTCTTTATTAGGGGGAAAGGTCAGCCTTATTTAACTGAAAATCTTAATTATGTAATATCTTTAAAGATATAGAGTTTCATTTCTTTTGAAGCATACACTCTGTCTAGTCTTACAATTACTGGCCTCTTGGAGCTGTTTTAATGAGCTCCTTCTACCTAGTAAACCAATTGTATGTGGGTGACATCCCCCATGGACCAGGGGTGTTTCAAAGTTTGTCTCCTTAAGTTTTTAAATATTCCTAGCAAGACTGTTAACATTATTAATTTTCACTTTTTATTAAGAAGGGGTTTACTAAGCTCTAGACCATGTCATAAATTTTGAGAGGAATATGAATTAATAGGGTTTATTTCTTATTCATGTACTTTAATATGTATATAATAGTTTTATGGTTATTAGGAGAAAGGTTACCTAAAGTCCATGGTAGACAAATTTTTTAAAAGCCTTTCATTCTGTTTCACACATACCTCTACTCTCAGTGCTAA